CGTCAGCTAGTTTTTTAAGTTCTGAATCCGACAGGTCAGCCAAACTTTTGTTGGAATATACCGATAATACCTCCCAAATATGGTTGAACAGAGTTAGTAGTACCAAATGTTTGATATCCCCTTGTCCCTAAAAGAGAGAGTGGATTAGGAATCTTGATTCAAATTTTTAGTTGGGGATAAACGTTGGGATCACGAATGTTTCCTGACCGATCATTGAGGTTTGGACACAAAGGGAAGGCTAAGTGGCAGTCTTGCGAGCTAAGACGGTCCCCTCTGCTAAGGCAATCGGAATCTCATGAAGCACAAAAGTGGTAGATGTTCCGACTTAGGTCCAAGTGTCGGTAGGGGGCGGCGGACAAGATTCCTGAAAATATAGAAGGGATTAGCATTCAGAGTATAAGTAAGTTAGACACTGATGGTTATGGGATACTTACACCCATTTTCTTTCCAGGTGCGACCAACTTACGGTCGGAAAAATGTGAAAAGGGTGGTGTGGGATTTAAGTTGGAAACTGTCACTGCATGGTCTCTGAAGGCTTGCCTTGCAACTGATGCCTCAATCGGAGGGTCATTCATCAGCGTTTGAGTAAGTGGAGAAGCATGGTGCTCGGAAGAAGGATCCTGAAAGAGGCATGTGAGGCTACTACTAAAAAAGATAATGAGTGATAAACAAAATACATTATAACCACTCGTGATGGGCGGATTGTTCGTCTCGGCGGTAGACAGAGAAAGAGAATGAAGTAAAGGTATGTTGGCGGCTTCGGTCGGATTGGTGGTTTCTAGACCTAGGGCATCGGTGGGCGGATTATTAGGTTGCTCTACTGTGAGCCTAGGAATTCTTTCGGCTTCGTCCCTGATGGCTACTAGGGTCATGTCTACAGTTGGCTCGGGGTTAGTCAGTCCTAAAGGAGGGTTGGTACCACCCATTATGGTTAGGGTTGCACAAAGTTAGGGTTGCACAAAGTTATATATATAAAGCGACAAAGAATAATGATATACCCGTTGAAACTCTTCGACAGTCTCCGAAACCAGCAAGAAAGGGGTATAAGAGTTGGAGGTGATGTAGATTAAGAGCTAATCGATTAGGGTTTTATCTAGTATGGTCTGGCCAAACCGTTAGGGGTAAGAAATTGAGGTTTGTAATGGTAGGAAGAATAAACTTTCTTTCTCCTTTCAAGCTTTTTACTTGAGAAGAGGGTTCGGCTTTGAGGGCAACATCCTAATAGAAGGTATAGGTCAAGTGTGGAAGATCGAGAGGGATAGGATATGGAAAATCATTTGAAGGGATTGGCCAGAATAGTTCAATAACATAAATTGTGTAATTTCGGTAGGGAAACTAATGTATTTCGGTTGGGTCGGTTGTGATAATGAAACATATAGTATTTATGGGATCAAATAAGTGGTTTCGGTAGGGGTAGAGTTGAAGAAGGGCTAGACCGAGCATACTGCCGGGGTTTGGGACAATAGAAGAATGACCGAAGAAAAGAGAAAGGAAGTAGAGTCGTAACCATAATTCTAGAAACCAAAAGGGTCCCGAACAAACAATGTTGATTTTGGCCTTGCCAGAGAGGCCAACACCAACCTTGGCAAAACCCTTAAAAAGGTTGGCAAGAAAGAGGGTTCCTAGTGACAAAAAGCAGCATTCAGCTATATGGATAGCAATATCTAGGTGAACATAAGTAACACATTTTGAAGGCGGGCAGACGACATACCTACAAAGCCAGAATAGTAGGAAGGTGATGTACTCCTCGTCGCTCACGGGTGTGTCCTTCTGGTAGCAATGCACTTCAATGAACGGGCCCCACGCAGTGACCTTTGACTTCGGCTTGTCAAGGGCCATTCGGGGTGGTCGGATGACGGACCCTCTCCATCTAAGGTCTCGACCACAGGGTCTTTGCCCATGATTGGCTGATAGGTGATCATTGCCACATCCAGGAAGGTGGGACCAATTGGGCCAGCAGGAAGCAAGAAAACTCCTACCTTTAAGTTCCAAAAGACCGTCATTCAAAGAAGAACAACGTTCTGAAGTTGAAAGGTCTAAATGGAGAAATTAATGGTCTTCTCCAAAGCTTAGCGTCGCCACTGCTCACCTTATTTTTTAGCAACTCGAGTATACTAAATCCTGAAGGTGGGTTTGGCATCTCTGAGGTTGGTCGAAATATTATCTTGAAGGCATGCTGGATTGCAGTGGGGGTTTTTCACGGCGAGGCTCTCACCGACCTCCAGAAAGGTTACTACCGGCATAGCATCGACTGCCGTTAAGAAATAAGGACGGACGATGTGAGCAAAAGCGCACGACAAGGTGAAAGAGGTTTCCGGTGCAGAGCCATCGAATGGAAGGGCAGGAACGTACTCCATAGTTGATCAAAAAATTTCTGAAGAATAGAGGATTCTTTTTGCGGAGGATTGAGGAATTTAGCAACAAGTTATGAAATTGAATGATGCGTTTGATTTTGGGGTTTTTATTATAAGTGAAGTGACAGCTGACAAGGCATCATCATTACTGCAACTTTGGAACAGTGAATGCACTATTTCAGCAATCACGTCTAACAGAAGTCGAGACGTGACATTTGAAATTAAGGCGGCGGGGGGCAAGTTGTTGAGCCATAAAATTGAATTTTATTTACGGCCCAGTTGAAATTGGCCTAAAGCCAAGATCATCCGACAGGTATAAGTGACCGACTTGAGAGGGAATGCTTAGGCAACTGACCAATAGACATATAGATGAGTGGCCGAAGCAAGAATACTATTCGGACACCACGACTGGTGACCGAACATCCCAATTGTGTCAAAGAAATAGGTAATCTGGCTTAGTTTGTTACCACTGCCCCGAATTCAAAGATCACAGCGTGAAGAACTGTTGGCGGTTAAATGCACGATAAAGTAACAAAAAATGGACGGTTAATGACGATTTTGGAAGGCCTTATTTAAAGTTATTCCCCTCAAATGGCAAAGAAATCTTCAGATTTCAAAGAAATGCCATTAGAAATCACTATTTTACTATTTTCCACGTATTAAAATTTAGTTTACAATTTTAGTTAGGCCAAGTGATTAGAATTATTTTTTCAAAGTCCAAAATATCAAATTCGAATTCATTTTGAATTTACTTGTAATATTGTTAAGGAAATCCAAATCAACAAATATATATATATATACTATTACATATCTACTTTAATTTATAATATCACTTATCTATTTATGTAATTAAATAAATTTATGTCTTTTTTTTTTCTTTGGATAATAAATTTATGTTTTTTTTTGGATAATAAATTTATGTCGTTTTTTTTTTTGATAATAAATTTATGTTTTTTAAAAGATAAAATGTATGTTAATATATTTATGCAGTGGTTGGTATTTACAATATCTAGTTTGACATAAATTATAAATATTATAAATATTCAAATATACTTTATGAATCTCTACCAAGCAATATGAATGTTATTTTGTAATGGTATTCATTTTTATTTTCATTTTATTATTATTTTTTAAAAATATATAAAATCAAATATCTAAGTTTTATATTATTTTAAAACCTTTTCAAAATTCCAAAATTTATAAATAATTATATAAATAAAATCTATATTTTGGACGTAGATGAGCTTCTATAATATTAGGGAGCCGTTGTTATGTTAATCAGAACAATAGGGATCAATTCTTAGCCGTTAAATTAGCTTATAACCTAAAGGCTAATATTAATTGAGTGTATTATTGTGCTGATTTGACCAAATTAGTAAATCAATTTAATGTAATTATCAAATAATCACCGAACAGACAGATAACATATTACTAAGTTAGAACATTAATTTGAAATAATTAGCGAATCATCACAAGACAAACAACATATATAATATTATATAGAAATATGTGTTGTGCGAGTTATATTTTGTACTAAAATTAGAAGATATTGTATTACATGCAACCATATAATGTATTACACTATATACTATATTAAAATTTGGTGTGTAAATTATATATTGTATTGTGTTGTATAATTTATTTATGGTACTATTGTGATAAAATTACAATATATTGTGCTAAAATTATAATTATATTTTACTACATGTAATTATATAATTTGATATTAAAATATTTGATATATATATATATTGTTGGAATATATTTTGAATAAATATTTTAGCTGATATTATTTAAATTTGTTAATTATCATATAATTATATCTACAAGATTAAGCGGTTAATATCTAAATATGTTTCTTTATATTAGTATGTATTACTTTCTTTTTCAATATTTGTTGATTGACTTAAATAAACACTATGTTAAAACTAAAATTATATTTTACTATATATAATTATATAATTTGCTATTAAAATATTTTTTATATATTATATTAATATATGCTACTCTTTTTATAAATATTTTTAATAATTTAATCAAACTAGCACCATAATTATTTGACTCAATCATATAGGGTGCGTTTCTTTAGGGTTGGTTTGGGAAGATTTGATTTGGATTGGGATTGAATTTGAAATTTTTGATAGTTTTGGGAAATTGCGTTTCTTTGGTTTAGTAAATTTTGTTTAAATTTAAAAATGTTTTATAGGTAATGATTTGATAGGTAATGATTGATTTTATATGAATTTATAATTTAATTAAAAGTAATATAAATTCAATAAAAGAGAAAAAATTAATAATGTGAATATTTATAAATTTAATAAATAGTTGAATTAAAATTTTAAATTAAAAAATTGAAAGTATTAATATATTAAATAATAATATAATTTAAATTAAATATAATTATAAAATAAAATTTATTTTAATTAGAAAATAAATATAAAAAATAATACTCATATTATATTACTAATATTGTTTTGATATATTATTAATAATTATTTATTAATATTAGTATTATTTTTCTATAATATGATAATTTTTAATAATTATTTATTAATATTAGTATTATTTTTCTATAATATGATAATTTTTAATAATATTATATTTTATTTTAATTATAAAAAATTTACACACCAAATTTCATTCGATTTTTCTTTTCTCTTTTTTTTTTCTTCTTCGTCTCCACTCAACTGCCTGCGCCGCCGCAAAGGTCTTCCTCATCTCATCCGCTCTTCTTCTTCCTCCTTTTCTTCCTCTTCTTCTTTTTTTTTTTTTTTTAATTCTCTTAAATTTTCTTCTTACAGAGCACGCTGTCTTCAAAATTATCCGAAAAAACTATCGGATCAAATCCAACCTTCGCCCAATCGCCGCCGCCCGGTGATTTCGCCGCCAACTTTCAACCTTACTACGCCGTCGGTTGTTCGAGAGAGGTTCTCCTTCAGCCGGTTCGACCGATGGTGAGTTTGGGAGGTTGATTAAGAGATGATTGCAGTATGAGATTTACAACTCACAGGCTTTACTTTCAATTTAGGGTGTGTTTGATGGAAGGATTTTGGAGGATTTTCACTATTCATCCAATTTTTTTCCCCCAAAAACATCAATACCTATTTTTCATTTTTTATATTATACTAAAAATCAATTTTATATTCAAAACATCACATCAAACCCTATTTATATCACATCATACAACTATTCAAATTTAAAATTTTTACTATTCAAATCCCAATCCAAAATCTAAACCCCCAAACAAACACACCCTTAGAAAAAGTCATGGCCTACGCTCTAGGCTGCAGGTTCTGTCGGTGTAAACTTTGGTCTCGCGCCAAAATATGTTGATCCACAGCGAATCAATAGTAAGTTTGGGAAACAAAGGGCCAAAGGAACACACCCATAGAGTCCAAATATATATATATATATAAATGTATATTAAAAGCATACATCTTTTATATTTATTTAGCAACATATAAACGTAGATAGACAACCACTAATGTCAATTCATCATCCTTTAATAAATAATAATCTTACACATATAGATACGAATAAAATATTTTTAGTATTTAGTCATCGATATATCATTACAAAAAAATATTAATTTTGTAACAAGATTTTTCGGTTTTTAAATCCACTTTTTCATTAGCTACGTGAACTTTAGGAACGGAATTCCGTTACAAATATACTATTTTTTTTTTGTAGTGTATAAATAGATATAGCATATAGTTAACATCTACTTAAGCATCATTTGCTAAAATAACTTAGAATATATAGACAATCTTATGTATAAATAACATGTTTAACATCCATTCAACACTATTTGTAAAATAACTTAAAAGCATAGCTCAACAATATATATTAATACTAATATATACAAATCTAGGTTTTTGACACTTGATTTTACTCTTTTGCCCTTTCTTTTTTTCTCAATTTTATATTAAATATTGGCTGAATTTCTTCCTTCTTTCTCCAAAGGGTTGTGTTCCTGCTGTCTTCAACCACTGCACATCACCATCATCGCCGATTTCACAGTCGCCCTCTGGCCGAGAAAGAGCTCCTTCCTCCAAATGTCTCTCCCGGAGCAGCAACAGCATCATCCTCGTCCCCCCTAACTTCTTACATGTTTTCAACCATATCTCCCACCCACCTCTATCGATTTCGCCGTTGGTGCCCTCGAGAGCAGCTCCTACGCCGTCGACGTATTCCCCAACTCGTGAAGTAGAAAATTTTCAGCCGTTTGATCGTTCCCAAAGTTTAGAAGTAGGGCTACACTATGTGGGTAATGTTTGTTCTATTTTGTTTGTGTTTGATTCATGTTTGAAGGATTTTCTAAGTTTTATGTTCCTTTGCTTTCGATTTGGGTGTAGTTTGTGATAATAGTTATCGTGGTTTGCAATATGTTAGCCCCTTTCTTGGCCAGAATAGGTTTGCTAGCTAATTCATGTTCAATTTCTATGGAATCACATGGACATCCTAGTTGCATCAGTTATATTAGTGGTTATCTTTAAGACTTCAGCAAGTTTTGCAGTTGTCAAGGGTACTTTATCAATACTTCAAATTATTTACAGATTTTTATCTTATTGGTTGGGTTGGAGAGTCGTCTTTGAGAATTTTGCTTTAAATTTAAGTTGTTATATGCGATCAATTTTGTTATTTTTTGTTTTTCTTTATGAAGTTAAAGTTTTAGCAAAGATACAACGTGCTAAGAATACTAACTTCCACGGATTGCCATTAGGGATATTTTCTCAATTGCAGAAAAAAAAAAAAAAAAAAAGGTTTTGAGTCCAGTGCTTTTCGTAGCATATTCACATGTATTTGCTTCAGTGATTGCTGTTTAATTGGAAGCATGGAAGGGTTTGGATTGTTTTTATGTGGCTTCTATTTGTAAAAGCGTTCATGCTCTTTTATATATTATGTTATGCAATTTCTAATTTTATGCGTGTTAATGTATCTCAAGCTTTTGTCTTCTACATCTCTAAAGAAATATTGTAATGTGACTCGTAATATCTTGGTGAGTTTATTCTTTTATTTAAGCTATTATTTACTTTTCAAAGATATGTGGATTTCATTCTTCTTGGTGGAGATCTTTTTTAAGAGAATAAGCCTTTAAGGTCTACCTAAGTAAAATCCATTGAAATCATCCATTGACTCTGTTTCAATGATAAACCAATTACTTTCCAAGTAGCCACTAGCCAGTGACCAAATAGTGAACTTTGAAAATTTGTTATCATCTATATAGAGCTCAATATGTTTTCTAAATGAAACTGAAATTTTTGCTCTAATAATTTACCTTCTAACATAGCACTTATTTGATTTTTAAACCTTGTTAGTGCAACATAAAATTTTATTGATGAATTTAACATTGCTAATAAAAATATTTATACTTTGCTTGTTTTCTTTTGGCATTTCAATGATTTTATGAACTGACCTTGGTATTACCATACTTTATCTGTTTTTCCTTGGATATCGATATTTAATATGACTATGATTTGACACTTGATATTATATTATTTCTTGCTTGCTTTATCTGCCATGCATATTTTACAGGTTGTTTTTGTTTCTTATTGCTTTAGGCCATGCATATTTTACAGGTTATTTTTGTTTTTTATTGCTTTAGGACATTTTTCCTGTTGTTATCCTTTCCGCATAAAATCTTGTCAACTATTTTGAAAAAAATGGTTCTTCAGGTTTCGGTGTTGGACAGATTACTCTATACCCGGTTCTTATAAGAAAGGTAACAATTCTATTGTAACTCATATGCTGTGAAATTGTATCCAGATAAAGAATAAATCTTACATTGTTTGAGATCTATTTTCTGTACAACAGGGATCAACAGTTTTTGCTCTTTATGGCCTTGGAAATATCAATTCCCAAATAGAATGTTTCAGGTTTTGATGTCTGATTCTTGCTATTCTCAATTTCCTTACATTTTCTCTCATTTAAATTATTTTTTATAAGTAGACCTCACATGCTGCGCAACGGATACGTCCCGAAGCCCAAGAGCGCTATCAAATTTCTATTTGGTTCAATATGTTGGTACTTTGTCAGAATAGGTCAGCATCAAAATTCTTGTTGTTTATAGTGACAGAGGTGTTTATTAGTTGTCTTGGGACAGATAGTAAAACTACCTATGTTTTCTTGGTTTGAAGCCTTAGGTTTCTGCTGCTTAATTCCCACACTATTTCATAAAGTTGTCGAATATATTCCTGATGCCATTGCTGCATCTGATTGCATGCTTGGTTAGTGATATGTTGTTTTGCATGATTAATTTGATTTACATGGAAAAGCATTACAAAAGCTAATGATATTTCTTAATTTCAGTTATATGGGACGTCAGTCAAGTTCTGGCATACAAGATATCATTGTGTGTTGTTTGCTGGGACTTACTTCAATAAAGAACATTTATTAAGAAATATATTCGAAGTTAAGTTGTTCTTTTCTAATGCAATGGAGCTTGAATATTATTATTGTTATTATAGAATATTGTCTTGTTGTATTTTCGAGCTTGTGTATTATTCATAGAATATTTCTCAAATTATGTTTACCAAAAATTTATTTGGAATTGTAGAAATTAAGATCTCTTTTGAATTTATTTTTCTTTTATCTTTTTTCTATATGCGTCTTTGATAGAAGGTAATTTCTAATAGATAATTGATAAAACTATATTTGTTATTAGTTGTGACTGTTGGTTTCTTTATGTTATTCACTTCCGCAGTCGCTACCCGAGATTGCGTACTGGATAAATCCCCCGGCCGAACCTAATTAAGTAGATCATTGACTGGAGTCTTCAATGGAGACGTTAATCTGGATGTTAATTAGTAATGATGCCTTGAAGTGAAAATTAATATCATAATTATCAATTTTGATTCAATTGAAATATTTTTATCAATTTTGGTCGCACACAAATGAAAATTTATCAATTTTAGTCTCATGATAATTGACTGAGATTGAACATGGCCGTATTGGTTTGAACACGGCCGTGTTGGATGACTAAAAAGGGTGACTAGGTGTCTCCAACACTTTCGTATTGATTACCCTGCATTGAACATGGCCGTGTTCATGTCTCTGTTCTAGGCCATATTCACGACTATCTTCTCAACATAGCTATGTTCACAACCATTATCTAGGTCATGTTCACGACCTTATTTTCAGTATAGTCGTATTGTAAATCATATTTATTGTTATTTACGCTTATTTGATATATATTAATAATTCAACAAAAATATTTTCTAATATTTATATTTTTTTATTTTAAATTATAAACTATAATTATTTTATATTTCTAAAATTATAAATTAAATTTATTTTAAAAAATTTATTATAAATTTTGAAAAATATATATAATTACGAGTATTAAAAATATATATTAATATATTATTATTTTTATAATTTTTTGCAATTATTTTTTAAAATATTAAATATTGATTATTTTTCTATATTATGAAATAATTGTAAAAAATATTTTTGTTGAATGATTAATATATATCAAATAATTTTAACAAATAAGTGAAAATAATAGTGAATATGACTTATAATATGACTATATTGAAAACAGAGTCGTGAACATGGCCTAGAACATGACAGTGTCAAGAACATTGTCATAAACATGACCTAGAACATAGTTGTGTTGAGAATAGAGTCATGAACATGGGCATAAACATAGTTTTGTTCAGAACGCGGGCATAAACACGGTCGTGTTGAGCCCAACACGGCCGTGTTGGCTGTCTTGGATGCTTAGTCATCCTTTTGAATCATCCAAAATGGTAATATTCAAGCCAACACGGCCGTGTTCAATCTCATTTCACCATCATATAATTAAAATAGATACACTTTTATTTAACTTGGATCAATTTTTGTGAAATGCATGAATATGTGTGTGTGGATAAAAAAAACAAAAACAAAACATATTCATTTGAAGGGATCGGAATTCCAATCAATCCAAATTTGATTATTTAGCTCTTTTTTTGTTTTTTAATCTCCTCCTTCGATTTGTTGTATTTTATTTTATGTTTCAAGTATCCTATCTTATGCCATTTCATCATTCCTCTTTTGAATTATTATTTTTTGTATTTTCATTCTTATAGTTTACATTATACTTTTTAATTAGTTTCGTAAATCACACACTGAAACTCCCTTGAAAATTTCTTTTGAGGTAATCCGGGAACTTTATTTTTCAATATGTCTATTTGTTACGTGGCTTTATCCCACATTGGTGTATTTTAGATTCAAGAAAAATATTGTCCTACATTGCTTGTAGTGACAAATTTGTCATAAGTCCTTTCCTATAAATTGGTAGCCTTGGATTGGATTTTAGATACACACCAAAAACTAGGCAAGTAGTATTTTCATATATAATTGTAGGTTACTTGTTTTGACTTGAGGATGTTTTGGGAGATAGAGAGTTGTGGGCTTTACAATCGTTATTTGAGCCTATTTTGTATTCTCTCTTGATAGTGAAAATTTGATCCGTTTTTGCCCATTGACATAGGTGTAGACAAAAAATTGTATTATTTTTAATAAACACAAAAAATTTTACAGATTATATTTAATTTGGATTTAAAGCGGATCTTATTCTCTAAATGGGTCATTTTATTCTCTTTTCCGGTCGATTTATTTTCCAACTTGATTTTCGATGGCTTCTTTGATCCGAAGAGATTTAGTCATCGGTTTGACTTTGCCGGACTTTAGAAGGCTTTGGTCTCCGTGCGGACGATTTGATCGTCGGCTTTGGATTTGATGTCCTCTTTGGACGATTCGAGGCTTTGATCTTCGGTTTGGCTTTGCCGTCTTTTGAAGAGCTTTGGTCTCCGTGTGGGCGATTTGATCATCAGCTTTGGATTTGATATCTTCTTTAGACGATCCGAGACTTTGATTTTTGCTTTGGTTTTGTTGTTTTTGGAGAACTTTGGTCTCCGTGTGGGCGATTTGATTATCGACTTTGGATTTGACGTCTTCTTTAGACGATCCGAGGCTTTAATCTTTGGTTTGGTTTTGCCGCCTTTTGGAGAGCGTTGGTCTACGTATGGGAGATTCGATTATCGGCTTTGGATTTGATTTCTTCTTTGGACGATCCACGGCTTTGATATTTGGTTTGACTTTGCCACATTTTGGAGAGCTTTGGTCTCCGTGTGAGTGATTTGATCGTTGACTTTGGATTTGATGTCTTCTTTAGACGATCCGACGCTTTGATCTTTGGTTTGGTTTTGCCGCTTTTTGGAGAGCTTTGGTCTCTATGTAGGCAATTTGATCGTCGGCTTTGGATTTGATGTCTTATTTGGACGACCTGAGACTTTGATCTTTGGTTTGGTTTTGCCGTCTTTTAGAGAATTTTGGTCTCCGTGTGGGCGATTCGATCGTCCACTTTGGATTTGATGTCTTCTTTGGATAATCTGAGACTTTGATCTTTGAGAAAGTGGATTTGGTGCTCCATAATACTTTTGGCGGCGTGTCTTTTTTACTTTCGGATCGAAAAGGATCTGGTTGATGCTTTTGACGAAGAACGCGACGACTACCTTGAAGCTTTGGGATGAACTTGGGAGGCTCTTCATTGGCTTTGATGGATCCTTCAACGGCTTTTGGAGCTTTAATCCTTCAACGGCTTTTTGCATTAATGGTTGATATTTATTGTACAAAAATTAACATATATGCATAATTAAATATCACATTTATTGTATCAAAATTTTATTTTCTTCGAATATATGATATCTAATTAAATTTAGACATTTAATTTTTAATACCTACAATAAGTCATCTTGACCGAACCATGTATATCATTATGTTATTGTTAAAGTTTTGCAAATATTTGTTTGCCACCATATTCCTGAAACTATCTTTGTAAGCAATCAATTGAAGTTCTCAAAACAACAATTTTATCATCATTTACTCATCAATATTTATATATATCGACCATCATATGTTCATATATATTTAGTATACATGTTCATATATATCCAATATATGTTGGTAAAAATAACTTAGAATTCTAAATTACAATATATATATATGAATATAAATAAGACAATTTACAAAATCAAATCACCACTTAAAAAATTATATATATATAATATTAAATTATATTTATTAAATCTAAACCCTTAAATTCAACACATAAATGATCAAATAATTTTTATTAAATCAATATGATACCCACTATAAAGACCTATTCACCGGGGCTGGGATTACATGCTGAAAATTAAGTATCAGCATTATGCTGATTGCATATTAGCCATTGGATTAAAATTTTTAATCTAATGGCTAATATTAGATTAAGGGTGTAATTGTAATTTTAATAACACTAATTTATGTAACTACATCAAACCTCACCCTCCTTTGTTCTTTCACGCAGCAATCGGTGGGGGAGAAACGTCATCCTTCATTCTTCACTCTCATCCATTCTTCAATGGCTGATATCGACAAAGGTGAGCAAAATCAATTATCTATTATTCCAACCGCATTCAACCGCTCAACAAGTAATGGAAACATCGGAGAGATTGCAATTTCGGATGATCCAGTGCCTTCCTCAATACCAGACGCGTTGGAACGGGAAATCGCTCAATTGCGTAAGTTACCCATCAACAATTGACTTGAAATCGTGAACATTGTACCTTATGTGATCGATTTCATTGAAATTATGCCATTATGTTCAGCGGATTGGAATTTCGTAAATATACTTTAGCATTTGCAATTCAATCAGAGCGTTAATTACCAGTATGATATGTGATTGTATTTGATACAGATATCAGCATCTTGCAATTTATCTGAAAGCATATTGAAATATGGTGGTCAGCATTTTGATTAACATAATCTAACATTCCATATGTGCAGAGTCCATAGATTGACATGCAATGGAATTTACAAAACCGGATGATGCATACAGTTTCTATTGTAAATATGCACACAATATAGGCTTTTCAGTGAGGATAAAAATGCAAAAAAATTTCAAAAAAGACCGCACCAGATACAATAAATGGAGTATCGTTGCAACAAAGTAGAGTTCAAAGATGGTAGCAATGTGAAACGAAACAATCCTGAGATTTATCCAAAACAATGCAGCGAGTTAGGAAGGATCAAAACCATGCATTGTAGTCATGAAACGAGAACAAACTGTAATTCAAATATACGACTTCAGTTTGACAAGGAGAATGCAAAGTATAAATGACATACTTTAAAGAAAACCACAGCCACAATCTACATCCTACAAAATACAAGCACATGTTTGTATTCAATCGTAGGATTAATACATCACATTTAATCATTGCGAATACAAATTAAGAAATTGGACTACCAATTAGATCATCGTATGATTTGTGAAAATAATTGCTGGAGGAAAGGAAAATGTGAATATGCTTCTTTATTTGGACCGTCTGCTCAAATTAATAGATTAGTATGTTGAATGTATTCTTCATATATGCTGTTTAATGAACGTGAATATGCTGAGCAGATTTTTACAGCCAGACAGTAATATTGTTCAATTTCTTTATCAATTTCAAAGAGTGGTGGAGAATCATAGAGAAAAAAAAAATGAACAACAGGATCTTTTTCGCACGGGATAGATGGTTGGCTGCAAATCATATGTTCAATCCATTGACGAAATCTACAGCTATGTTCTACATACTGAATGTCTTTCAATAGTTTCAGAAGCAACACCAAAGATCCTTTGAGAAGAATCTTCAATTGAGTGCATGTGCAATATTTGGAAAATTGCTAGAATGTTGTGTTGTCATTCAATACGCACGATGAATGTATTAGTAACAACAAGGTGTGCACAGTTCAAAAATATCCCAAACAAATACATATTGAATCGATGAAGAAAAGATGCTAGAAAGATGTTACAGTAGCACAACACCAGCTTAACATTTAGTCGGGAGGAAATGGATTTTTCAGGAAGATACAAATTATTGTGCCACTTGTTCATGAATTCTGCAAAGTTAATAGCATCTGAGTCGAAGAATTACAGTCCATTCTTACATAAATTCAATGAATTGCTTCACAACATAGTTACATGCCCAAATCTGTATGGAGGAATGCTGACAGATGAAAATAAAAGTTACGTTTGATATATATTTTATATTAATTGAAATATATATAATATTAAATTAATCGATTTTTCATGCTACAAGAGAAGTACATAATATAACCACTGCAAACCATTTAATATTGAAGCCCAAGAGACAATCCA